GGGGGAGAGGAGAGACCGGGCCCTGGCGCACTCCCAGTTCCAGTGTTCTCCCTGCCTGAGTCATGAGCAGGCCCTGGGGTCTAGGAGACCCTCCTGTACAGTAGCCTCGTATTTAGCTTCTGACAGTTTCCAGGCTTCTATTACTTGGAAACAAGGAGTTTCTGACCATTACAGCGGTGCAGCCGGGCTACAGCAGGAGGTAGATAAAAAAGTGACCCTTCTTCATAGCACTTCGGAGCAGAAGCCGTATTTTCTGCATAAAGCCACTGCTTCCAAGCCCATTTAATGCCAGCCTCCCCGTGAGTCCCTCATTTTATATTCAAGGCGGTGAAGGATGTCTTTTCTTCCAGTTGTTCCAGGCTTGTTTCTGCCCAAACAGCCCTTTCTGATTATTAAACAAAAGAAACAAAATAAAACCCGCAGCCATTTCTGAAGCCGATTTCTGCCTGTGCCAGCGTAGGGCAGGCAAGTGGCTGGGGATGAAGGGCTGCACACTTTTATGAGGTGGAGCAGACAAGAGAGGGGTTTGCCTGTGGGGGGCAAAAGTGGCTCATCCACAGCACAGGGCCGCCAGACCGACAATGAAAGCCAGCGGTCGGCCCGGAGACCGTCAATGAGCCACAGAACCCAGGGGGGCGGCGGTGCTGTCCCTCCCGGGACCGGGGTCACAGCAGTAACACCTGGACACCCTCTCAGCCTCCTGGCCTAGTCCTGCCCCTGGACCCGATGGGGTCCTCCCTGCACCCCATTCCCACCTGGCTCCTTTCTGACTCCAAGTTTCCACTCCTGTCCTTGGCATCGTCGAGAAGCCTCTTTCATTCTTTCTATTACGTGTGGTTAACAAGGGAGAAAGAAAGATGATAGAAAAAAGGCCTGGCCAAGTCGGGATGGAAAATAAGAAGCCCAGGGACAGCGAAAGCTAAATACGAAATCACAAGACAAGCGAGAGACACACAAAGATGAACGATAAAATAATGAGAGAAGCTAACCTTGCTGGGTGCCAGAGCCCATAAGTGACGCACAGTTGTTTTTTAAACTTTACAACAGTCCCATTTTCCAGATGAGAAAACCGAGACTGGGAGAACTAAACTCTTGGCCAAAGATCAGGTCATAGCCAGAGTACGAAGCTGGCCACAGCCACCCTGTCACTGTGCTGCGTGGGGAAGGAAGGACAGTTACCCGGATTACGGGGGCTCTGGGGCCCGCTGGCCTGAAGAGTTTTAGGCTCAACCACCAGGTGTTGCTAAGGTAGACCATCTAAAAGGGGGCTATTTCTTGTAGAGCGGAGTGCCTCCTTAAGTCAAGCGGATGAACAGAGATGCAGACATAGGACGGGTTCAGTAATGGACTGGTTTTCCTGTTTATCAAACCGTTTTCCCTTTAGAGAGGAGTCTGCTCATCTCATCATTCCTCCAACAAATTCCTTTTAGTGCTGAAGATGTACGAGGAATCCCAGAGAATTTAGGATTTAAAATAGCAACACCTGCACCTGCATTCAGTGTGGGAAAGTACATCATTGTTGCATGAAATGAGGCACAACTTGAATTTGCTTCCAAATGCTTTTGTTTCCCAAACTGAATGGGGAATTTTTCTAGACACCTCCCCAAAGCGAGGACAGTAGATATGCAGGGACTGGGGGTTTCTGAAGAAAGGAGGGGGAGTTCCCACCCATACCTGCCCTGTTGGGGACTTCCGTTTATCCCTCTTGATGAGGTACCTGGGGAGAGGGAATAGTTTTGACTGGGGCAAAAAAATCTTGCTGTGGGTGAGGCATTAAGATTGGCTGGCAGATTCGAACCTCGGGCAGGAGCATTTAGAGCAGGGAACAGACAGGGCCTGGCGAGGCTTATTTGCTGATAAGCATGACAATGTGATTATTTGTTCCTTTTATTGAGCACTTGCTTTGCGCCATGCACAGAATACCCTCAAATAACAACCCAAATTACAAATTAAAGAATACTTCAGAATAAAGCCCATTAAAAGTCAACATAAATAAAACGTTTGTGTTTTATGTCTTAATTTCACACTGGTTCCAAGCAGAGGACAGGGGCCTTCGATGAGAGCTTGCTTTCTTCAGTGTGGTTCAGTGGCCTGTTACTAAAAACCCTGGTTTTAGAAGGTTCCTCCAAAGACAGTGGGGGGGGTGGTGGTAAAGAGAGGCTCAGGGTGGGAGGGGCAAGGAGTGACAGGGGGCACCACCCCACCAGCTCTGGCCACTCATTCTCAGGGACAGTGGCACAAGCAGTACCATTGAGGCCACAAGCAACCAACACATCGACTCAAGGGTCTGCTGGGTCTCAAAGACACTATTTAAGCGGCAGAAGAGAACGGCTCCTGTCCGGCTCGAGTAGCCTCTCTAACAACTGGTCTGGTTCCTGCTTCTCCGTCTCTCAGTAGCTGGAAGTAAGAAGAGGCCATGTGGAACAGATACTGACTTTTTAAGCAAACATTTAAAAAGCTGTTGGTGTTTTCCAGTGAAAACAATTACTATCGATCACGTTGGCAACTGGACTATTTACAAAAGTAAGATTCAGCTCTCTTTTTGCCTTAAATGTCATTTCTACCCATGGACCTAAGACTGAAATTAGTCTTGAAAGTATCAATCAGCTATGTATGCTCATGTTTTCACACAAGCTAAGGTAAAAGATATATATAGAGAGACAGAGAGAGGGAGAGACAGAGAGAGACAGAGAGAGGGGGAAAGCTGTCCCATGCAAACACATCCCACATAGGGCATAACTCCAATTGTCTCTTAAAGGCAGAAGAATTGGGATTTTTAAGAGGAAGGGAGTTTGGAAGCCCAAGAAGGCCCAGCCTCTCACTGATGATAGTGTATCCACGAGATGCAAAGGATCAGGATTTCTGCCCAAAGTCAGAAAAATACCTTCTTACGGCAAAAACATGAATGAAGGGCAAGACAGAAAACAGGAAAGAAATTAAAAAAAAAACCACATAAAGGCTTTTTATGCCCCAAATTAGACCTGTTGCTATTCGGTGGTGGGAGAAATGTCAAGCGCCATGTAATGCAATTCTTCATCCTCAATAAATACAGAGAGCTGAAATAGTCCAGCCCTCAGTTCAATTATAGCATGCAGACGCCTGGGCTGCTTGCTTTCTAAAAACAGAAGCTCAGCAAACGGACCGAACTCACGTGGGCGGATATTTAATAGACACACATTTGTCCTTCTGAAGGATCAGAAAGCAAGGGAACAAACTAGGTCTCCCTGGCCAGCTCTGACAAAGGGCTATCCTGGCTCCAGCAGCCACTTGGGCTCCTGGCCCTAAAGGAAAGAAGAATTTTTAAAAAAGAAGGCAAGTCACAATTTGCTGCTCCTGCCTTTTCTTTTTATCCTGGATCTCCATTCTCTCCAACTTCGAAATTGTCAGCCCATTTGCCGGTAAAGCCTCTACCTCCACCCCGTCTCTCTTGGGCACTGAAACGCATCTCAAGCCAGGCCATCTGGCATCAGCCTCTCCTCCCAGCCCTTCTTGGGAAAATGCATCCGGGCAAAGGGAATAAGATCATTTTCGGACGGCAGGCCATTTCTACCGGTGCCCATCTGAAATGAAAATAGCAGTATTTCCAGTTTATAAACACACGTGGGAAAATCCACTTAAACTCCCACCGACTTCCCGTATCTTTTTGTTTGGTCTGGTGAGCAGGATCAAGGCCGCAGCCCTGGGCAGCTCGGCCAGGCGGCCGGGGTGCTCCCTGCACCCAGAGCACAAACAAAAGCGACTGGACGGTGTCGCCTGTCATCATTTGCTTTCACAGCTGTCTACACACAAACCAAAGGGGTTAGCATCCCTGAAAACAAAAGACAAAACACAGAATGTGAAACGGGCCTCTGTTTCCACTTGCTCGGGGATAGCGATAGTCTAACAGCTACCCTGAGTGGAAAAGTACTGCTGGGTGACACCAGAGGGTCTCTAAAGGCCACCGACGGGGCATGCTCTGTTTTTCTTTCCCTGGACCTGCGAATCGGAAGCAGAAATGGGTCCAATTCCCCAGAACTCAGTTAATATACATGTAGATGTTTCTAGACGTCGGTCACAAGCTTTCTGAGGTCTCCAGTGTGGTCAGATCCAAAGCAGGTAGCCAAATGTGGGAAGCAAGGAAATTGGCCATCTCAGTACTTTACAAGCGAAGACCAGAAGGAAACCACAAAGTGACGACACTTGTCCACGGGCCCTCTCAGAACAGAAGGATGCACAAGTTTGCTTACCTTGAAGTTGTGCGTCTTCTCATAGTTGAAGTGGTTGTCGTTGTGCGTGAGGACGGCCCTCCTGACCAGGGAGGAGATCTGTGGACAGGCAAAGAGTTTGAGAGGGGGCCACAGAAAGCCGCCTTTGACTCCCACCTTCACCCCCAAGGCCACGGCCAGCAGCTCCTGCCGTTTCCTGCCCTGCTTGGGCTTCCGGACCACAGCACACTTTTTCTCACTGTCCAGCCACAGTTCCTGGGAGAACATGGTGTGGGGACCCCAGATCTCCTTGTCCCCGCGGAGCCTGGGAAGCCGGGCTGTCAGGCTTGGGAAGCGCAGCTAGTCAGGCAGCAGACCGGAGGCAGCTGCGTCTGTCCTGCCTGCAGAGGCCTCGGCATGTGACCTGGAAGGGCCCGTTTGCGGGACGGAGGGGGCTCTGCCTCTGAATAAGGCCCGGCCTGTTTTGTGCTATGTCTTCAGGCCGACGTGTGCCTGGAACAATAGCGCACATTCATGTGCCAGCAGCCCCCAGATGCTGTAGCCAGTCAGCCGCTGAAGAATCAATGGGGGAGGCCGGGGCAGGCTGCTCGATTCCTCCCGCCGGACACTGCCGAGGGGAGACCTCTCCTGCTCGCTGGCACACTTCCCTCTCCCTCTCTCTCCCCCCCCACCACCCCATCACACACGCACAACTGGCTCTGATGTTCAAAGCCTGAGGCTGCATCCAATTATTTTGGGGCTCCGAACCCCATCCTGGGCTGAACTTTAAACCTTTAAACCCTGAGGATTGTTTAATCTTAAAGGGATCAAGCCTGAGTCTCTTTTAAAAAACCCGCCCCAGCTCTTGAAAGTCCGTTTTTATTCATCTGCACGCATTAAATTAGAAGAGTCTGAGCACCGAATGGGGCACAGGTACAGGCCACAGCATTTCAGCTGTGAGTTCTACAGCTATTTCAAAATGAGAGGTAGGGTGTCAGCTCCAGGATAACCCTGGGCTCTCTCCTCCCGCCAGCTGCCGACAGCCCCCCACAACCCACACAGGCCACAGGCCTTAACCAAAACCGAAGCACCGTGGCTGCTTCTCCTCGAAATAAAACATCTTCGATGTTCATTCTGTTAGTGCACAAGCCCAAAGCCTTCCTTGCTCTTCAGAAAGCATCATCTGTTTGATGGTCTCTCTTGGGACCATAGCTTTTTGGTCCCTGATCTCTCCATTAATAGAAGTGAGGCAATCATTACGTCTTGGGAGAGCTCCTGATCTATTGGCCAAGTTCAATGCAGCTAATGCCAGAGAGTAAAATCAATGCCTTTGCAACTAGAAAGCAAGAAGAACATAGGTGGTCGGACCATTTACATGGATGGATGGTCCATGAATTTCATTCCATTCTCTCCTGCAACATGGCTCCATGTTCCAGCCCCTGCAGCAGCATCGTGGAGCGTCACAAAAGATCGACCCTTTCCTTGCGTAACTCTCTACTCCTGGCCGTCACTCTCACGCCCGCTTGGTGCAGAAGTGTATCCTCCCATTTATCTTCTTGTTACCCTCAATAATAACAGCCGATTTTTATACTGAGCTGTGGAGCACAATGACTTAGGTTGTGCGAGACGATAGAATGTGTTGTGTGCACTTATTTAATTTCAGCTCACGTGTATGAGGAACAAGACTTTCATTCCCATTTTTCAGATAAAGATATCAGGGCATGGAGAAGTGAAGCAATTTTCCTGAGGACATGCAGCTGGTTAAAGCGGCTGAGCCAGGACTAGAACCCAGAATATGTGTGTCCAGCACTCAAGCTTCTGACCACCAAGTCCTGGTGCCTTATCCTGACAAATTATTTATTTGAAGTATTGACCAAGTCCGCCCCTCCTTACCTGGCTTGCCCCACAATAACTCAGACCCTTCCTATCCTTCCAGGACACCTGCACACACCTGCACAATAGTCTTCTTAGCCCGTCACCACTCCACCTGCTCAGAAACTGTCAATGATTCTCTGTGACTTAACCATGCCCTGGATTGCCCCAATCTGTCCAGCTCATCTATTTCCCTACACCTCCAAGAATCCTACAAAACCTCCTCTCTGACATACTCAACTCCTCACCGCCTTAGCTCGCTCTGTCCTGTAGCACATTCCAGCATCATTTCACATGTCTACATTTTCACCAACATTCACACCCTAACGAAAATGCCCCTCTCCAAAAAGACTTCTCCAAACTCCCCACTGGAAGCAAACTCTCTCCTCTGAAGTTCCATCGCGTTTTCCCATATTTTTCTTATTGTGCTTAGCACTTTCTATCTCATCTGAGAGTGATTTGTAACAGGTCTGGTACCCCTGCCATATTGAGAACTCACTGTGACATGCTCTATGTCTAATTCACCTTTGCTTCCCCTATAAGAGTGTCTAATAATAAATTCCTTGCCATAGTAGGCACCGAATAAATATAAAAAGCCAGAGTTGTGAAGAAAGGTGGGCAAAGGTGTATAGGGTATGATCTCCTGGCCCATCCTTTGATCGCCATGTTCTGGTTCTAAGGACCTGAACCTCCAGGGGTCTGCCCTCCTGATGGGCTCCTCATTCCCATTGCTCAACCTTAAAGGCCATCTGCCACTCACAGGGCCTGAGGGAGGCAATGACATACCTTGGAAAGGCTTCCAACCCTGAGCCCAGAGGCAAAAAGACAGACAGGAGGTATAAAGGTCTCTTCCCAACCCTTTACTGCTGGCAGGAGACCTTTTGATGTTGAGCCAATCTGTGTAAGAACAGATTCTGTGATCTGAACTAGGCCAATTACATGGATACATGGTTTTAGAACCTGATAAAATAACTCTTTCAATGGAAAGTGGGCCAAAGGGTCTCCTTTTCCTTTGGGTATATGGGTGGTTAAATACAAAGAGATTCAATATTTTCTTGTCAGTGCCTTTACTATAACAAGTAATTTTTTATTTCTATTGGTGACAGTGGTTTCTTGTTCAGATATTTGCTCAACAGAATCAACCCAAACACAAGACACATTCAGACGTGTGAAGGAACTATATACACTGTTCGCTTCAGATGCCTCTTTACAGGGAACCAGGGTGTTGGCATTGGGTGAGCATTACTGTGAGGAGTGTGGATGACCCCAGATCACCCTCGTACTAAAGGGAAAATTGATTACAAATGTCTCTTGGTGGAAACTTCCCTCTTCGATAACTCCACCACACAGAGCTCTTCCCTAGCCAACCTCCTCAAGGGCAGACAGAGCCTTGGTTTCTTCTACATTCCCCACAATGACTAATGCATGGTCTCATACACGTGGACGTTTAATACTTTTGCTGACAGTCGTTTTTCTAGTAATTTTTTCTATTATCTATACATTCATTAGATGAAGCACATTTGCCTACGCGCTCTGTTTAAGTTGGGGATTCTCAGTTTTGGAACTCTTGACATTTGGGTCAGATAATTCTTGGTTGTGGGAAGCTGAGCACTGTAGGATGTTAGTGGTCTCCCTTGCTCCTGCTCACTAGATGCCAGTAGAGCTCCCTGACTATGATAACCAAAAATTTCCCCTGACATGGCCAATTCTCTCCTCTGAGGCAAAATTGCCCCTAGTTGAGAATACCTAGGTTAGGTGGATAAAACAAATATTTACTTCCGATATGCTAGGTACTGTACGAAGCACTTTGCATATATTGACTCATTTAAGATTTATAACCTTATAAAGTAGATACTGTTATAAATGTCCCCACTTTATAGATGAGGAAATGGGAACTGAGGGTTTAAGTGCCTTGCCCAAGCTTATACGGCTAGTATGTGTGGAGCTGAGATCAGAACCCAGGCACAACTAACTAGGTCTAAGCTTTTCCCCACCCCAAGAACAAGTTTCTTTATTTTTTTATTGTGATAAAATATATGTAACACAACATTCACCATTTTAACCACTTTAAAGTGTACAATTCAGCAATTCAATGGCATTAGGTACATCACAATGTTCTGCTATCATTACCACTATCTAGTTCCAGAGCTTTTCCATCACCCCAAATGAAACCAGATACCCACTGAGCTGTCACTCACCATTCCCCTCTCCCTCCTGCCCTGGCAACCACCAATCTGCTTTCTATCTCTGGATTTGCCTTTTCTGAATATGTCATAATAAATGAAACCATATAACATACGGCCTTTCGTGTCTGGCTTCTTTCCCTTAGCATGTTTGCAAGGTTCATCCATGCTGTAGAGTGTATCAGTACTTCACTACTTTTTATTGCCAAATGATAACCCATTGCATGGACAGAACACATTTTGTTCACCCATTCATCAATTGACGGACATTTGGGCTGCCTCTATCTTTTGGCTATTGCAAGTAGTGCAGCTAAGAACATTCTTGGACAAGCTTTAGTGCAAACACCCGTTTTCAGTTGTTTGGGGTGTACACTAAATCTATGCTTTTCACTACCCTCTAAACTGCCTCTCATCCAAATAATGCTCGCACTAAAAATATCCAGGGGTTCAATGCTGGGATTACTCTCTTCCCCACTGTCAGCCTGTGAGCAGCTCGCAGGGCTGGCGATCTCGGTCTGGTCGTGAGGAGGAGACTTCTGTTCTCCTGGCGCCTCTTCCAAAGCAGGCACTACATAGGTACTTTTTGAAGTAAGTACAAGGCTATAAATAAATGGTGAAATAAACTCACCATTTCCCTTTCCCTTATTTATAAGTAAAGTTTACAATTCTATTTTTTTTCTTTTTTTTAACTTGAAAGAGATCTTTTTTAAAAAAAATGTTTTTAGTGATTTTAGAGAAGAAGGGAGAGAGAGAGAGAAACATAGATGAGAGAAGAAACATTGAGAGAAACATCGATCGGCTGCCTCCTGCACGCCCCTTACTGGGGATCAAGCCAGCAACCTGGGCATGTGCCCTGACCGGGAATCAAACCTGTGACCTCTCGGTGCCCAGGACAATGCTCCACCCATCTGAGCCGCACTGGACAGGGCTGGGATTCTATCTTCTACGGGCTCCCACTGCTCTTTCTCTGATTCGGATCCTGAATCCAAGGAGGAGTCAGGCAACCAGAAGGCAGTGCAAGGCCGTCAGCTGAAGACAAGGGGGCAAGGGCGGGTCGGTGGCAGGAAGACATGGGAAACCAAGCCGATGCCGTCACCATGTACATGCAGATGCCCAGGAAAAAGAGGCAGGGGGAGGAGACCTTCCCTCCGTGCTGACACTGGTAACCAAACATCGGAAGCCAAGAGGGGACCTCAGAGGTTCATCTGTCCAATGGCCCCTTCTCCGCCTGGG